TGTCTATTTGGTAACTACGTACTCCAGTCTGTTTCGTTTTTTTCAATGATCATAGTTTTCGTTTTTCCCGGTGTTCTCCACACGCAGCCCACGTGAGGTCCATGTGGGGTTTGACATTTTTACGATATGGCAGCAAAAATTCATAATTTCCCCGTTATAATCGCACGATGTTTGTTTAATATCAGTCTGCAACCCAATTTGTGCCCCACCACGAAAACAATGACGTAGCACTCACCTGACCTATCACGTATCACACCTGTGAACCTAGTACAACCTACTACGTAGCACACACCTGTACACACTTGACATTCACAATGGCGGAATATTTGATGATTTTTGATCTGAATAGTTTCGTGAATACTGTACATAAATGACAAACGACTATATCAGGTGAAATTACATTTAATTTCTCAATTATTCTCACTTTATACAAATAATAATTGTCTTTGACGACATGAATCTTAAGCTCAGATTGTTAATCGCTAAAAATGCGATGTAACGTGCGTATTGTTGAAACACTGAGTCTCCGGAGAAGTGAATTGCCATTTTTCTGTAATGTCATTTTACCAAAATAGAATTCTTCGATATTTATCGATTATTGATCGATATGTGACTACCGATAATCGATCTGAGTAATCCATAACGATAACCAGCCCTAGAAATTATAAGATGTATATCACGGCGGGAATAAAGTAGAGAAATACTTCTGGAAAATATGCTTCCTTGTTTGGGTTGGAATAACAGTAAAACCAATTACCAGGGTTCGTGTTCGTCCTCGTTATTTCTGACTCCCGTGTGAAAAATCAGTATCGGACTCTATAAGGACAAATACTTGTAACACACTTAACATAACGATTCTTTCAATAGGCGTACCTGCTACGACGTTTCTCACAAGGAATAAACAAAGCCCTTACCCCTCTCGTGTCCTGATTGAAGCTGGTTGATAAACATTTCCAAACCCAATGCTAGTGACATCCTGCTGCATATAGGACACATATTGATTCTTCGGATAGTGTGTATAACATAACATTTGCTTCAATAGACGTTCCTGCTCTCATGTTCCTCGCGTTTGGTGACCTTGGTTATGTGCGACTGGTGTATAAATACTTGTGCGTTGATGTGTGTACAATGTACATATATTGCGAGGGCTAAGTCATCTCAATGCATAGGATTTTGTAAGAGGTGGGTGTGGCACATATTGCACATGATGAAACTAACCTTCAGTGAATGTATGTGTTTACACAAGGGCGCCGTATTCTGGCTGTTTGTGTGTGCGCGTCATAAGACCATTTCAGCTGAGGGCAGTTGAGGGGGCATGCAAGTATTTCAACAACATGTGGTGGGACGAGTACTTCAACAGCATGTGGTTGGACGGGTATTTCAACAAGATGTGGTCGGACGAGTATTTCAACAACAGGGGATCGGACGACTGTTTCAACAACAAGGGGTCAGACAAGTATTTCAACAACAGGGGGTCAGACGTATATTTCAACAACAGGGGATCGGACGACTGTTTCAACAACAGGGGGTCCAACGTATATTTAAAAAAAAGGGGTGTCAGACGTATATTTCAACAACAGGGGGGTCACACGTATATTTCAACAACAGGGGTAAGACGTATATTTCAACAACAGGGGGTGTGACGTATGTTTCAACAACAGGGTTCAGGCATTTTATTTTAACAATAGGGGGTCGGACGTCTATTTCAAAAACAGGGGGTCAGACGTATATTTCAACAACAGGTGGTCAGACGTATATTTCAAGAACAGGGGGTCAGACGTATGTCAACAACAGGGGCTCAGACAAGTATTTCAACAACAGGGGGTCAGACAAGTATTTCAAAAACAGGGGGTAAGACGTATATTTCAAAAACAAGGGGTCTGACGTATATTTCCAAAACAGGGGGTCAGACGTATATTTCAACAACAGGGGGTCTGACGTATATTTCAACAACAAGGGGTCTGACGTACGTTTCAACAACAGGGGGTAAGACATTTTATCTCAACAAGAGGAGGTCAGACGTTTATTTCAACAACAGGTGGTCAGACGTTTATTTCAAAAACAGGGGGTCAGACGTTTATTTCAACAACAGGGGGTCACACGTATATTTTAACAACAAGGGGTCAGACAAGTATTTCAAGAACAGGGGGTCAGACGTATATTTCAACAACAGGGGGTCAGACGTTTATTTGAAAAACAGGGGGTCAGACGAATATTTCAACAACAGGGGGTCTGACGTATTTTTCAAAAACAGGGGGTCAGACGTATATTTCAACAACAGAGGGTCTGACGTATATTTCAACAACAGGGGCTCAGACAAGTATTTTAAAAACAGGGGGTCAGACGTTTATTTCAACAACAGGGGGTCAGAGGTTTATTTCAAAAACAGGGGGGGGGGGGGGGGGGGGGGGGGGGGTCACACGTATATTTCAACAACAGGGGGTCAGACAAGTATTTCAAGAACAGGGGGTCAGACGTATATTTCAACAACAGGGGGTTCAGACGTTTATTTAAAAAACAGGGGGTCAGACGTACATTTCAACAACAGGGGGTCTGACGTATATTTCAACAACATGGGCTCGGAAAAGTATTTCAAGAACAGGGGTTCAGACGTATATTTCAACAACAGGGGGTAAGACGTACGTTTATTTCAACAACAGGGGGTCATATGTATATTTCACCAACAGGGGGTCAGACGTTTATTTCAAAAACAGGGGGTCAGACGTATATTTCAACAACAAGGGGTCAGACATATATTTCAACAACAGGGCTCAGACGTTTATTTCAACAACAGGGGGTCAGACGTTTATTTGAAAAACAGGGGTTCAGACGTATATTTCAACAACAGGGGGTCAGATGTTTATTTCAACAACAGGGGGTCAGACGTATATTTCAACAACAGGGTGTCAGACGTATATTTCAACAACAGGGTGTCAGACGTTTATTTCAACAACAGGGGGTCAGACGTATATTTCAACAACAGGGGGTCAGACGTATATTTCAACAACAGGGTGTCAGACGTATATTTCAACAACAGGGGGTCAGACGTATATTTCAACAACGGGGTGGTCAGACGTATATTTCAACAACAGGGGGTCAGACGTATATTTCAACAACAGGGGGTCAGACGTATATTTCAACAACAGGGGGTCACACGTATATTTCAACAACAGGGTGTCAGATGTATATTTCAACAACAGGGGTCAGACGTATATTTCAACAACAGGGGGTCAGACGTATATTTCAAAAACAGGTGGTCAGACGTATATTTCAACAACAGGGGGTCAGACGTATATTTCAACAACAGGGGGTCAGACGTATATTTCAACAACAGGGGTTCAGACGTATATTTCAACAACAGGTGCTCAGACAAGTATTTCAAGAACAGGGGTACAGACGTATATTTCAACAACAGGGGGTAAGATGTTTATTTAAAAAAAACAGGGGGTCAGACGTATATTTCAACAACAGGGGTGAGACGTTTATTTCAACAACAGGGTGGTCACATGTATATTTCAACAACATGGGGTATGACGTATATTTCAACAACAGGTGGTCAGACGTATATTTCACCAACAGGGGGTCAGATGTATATTTCAAGAACAGGGGGTCAGACGTTTATTTCAAAAACAGGGGGGTCAGACGTATATTTCAACAACAGGGGTCAGACGTATATTTCAACAACAGGGGGTCAGACGTATATTTCAACAACATTGGGACGTGTAAGGATCGGAATAAATTTCAATGTCAATTCATCCAAGATCAAAAGTTTTATTCACATTCTCATTTCCATTCTCATTCTCAATTGTACATATGTCATATGTCAAACATCATATTTCATGGAGAATATAATTCAATTTTATTGTTAGTTCATGTTCAAATAAAGTTCATAATATGTATCACATCTTATCATCATCAATTATTAACAAATACCCAAAACCTTATCCTCGATCGAGTTGGAAGATTGACTGCAAAGGAAAAATAAACAATAATAAGTTTGCAGTTCCATATGTAAACAAAACAATAACAAAGTAGAAAAATTACTGAAACAACAAAAGTTGACAAAAGACATTAAATTGTACCAAATTAATTACAAGAGCATTTGCACAGAAAGAAAATGCATAATATAATGTTATATGATGCAATTTAAATTGAAAATACTTGATGAAAATACAACTTTAAATTAACTAGAATGTAAACATTAGTGATTGAAAACTGAACACATTTTCTTTACGTCAGAAAAAAAAGTTACAAATACAACATTTTGGGAATTAAAATTGCTACAGAAATATATTGACAATGGAAAAGAAATGCATGAAAACACACCATTTTGGCAGACCCATATTCTTTTAATTCATTCTTTTCTTATTTTTGACCGCATGGGTCCTAATTCTCTCAATCCATTAACTAAAAAGCATGGCATGAAGCCTTAACAGGCTTACCTCCCTTGGTATCCTGAAGCATACATAAAATAACACTCTTTTTACTGTTAAATTTGGAATGAAAATTGAAGAACATTTTAAACTTTAATAATTTGGAAAAAATAATAAAAATTATTTTAGAGATGCTATTTTTTTTACCGTAACAGGACGAGTATTTCCACAACATGTGTTGGGACGAGTATTTCAACAACATGTGGTGGAACGGTTATTTCGACAACAGGGGGGGGGGCAGACGAGTATTTCAACATGTGTTTGGACGAGTATTTCAACAACATGTGTTTGGACCAGTATTTCGGGGCACTCAGCCATCAGATTCCATCTCTCTGGCAACACAGGGATGCAACCTTCGGGAAATAGGTTGCCCAATTTCGCCATCTCTTTCAACCAGCAGGTGGATAAAAGGGGCAACCCCCAGTCCCTGGGTCCCCACGGGCAAATAGTATAAGTATATTTCATGCAGTAACTGTTCAAATAAATAACATAGTTTGGATATGACAGAACCAGATGATTTATACTACACAAAAAGTGTTTTAGTCAGTGACATATTTTGCATTCAACCTATACTGCTTGTGTCAGAATTCTGTCCCTTACATGGACCCATACATCACTGTGAGGATCAGGGAAGTCATCAAGTTGGATGATATCCTCCTCGTCAGTTACATTCAGCAGCAGTTCAGGAAGTCGACCACGGTTCACGTTTCCCACCATGAGCAGAATCACTCTGTTAGGGTTGAGGTTGGAAATGTAGTAAGCTGTTGACTTAATGATAAAGTAGGACCAGGGGTCATCCAGGAAATCGTCGGACACAACCAGTACTGTCTTCCAGCTTTTGTTAATGCTTTCTACAACATGGTCAGCTACAAACTGACCAGGTAGGAAATCTCTGTGGGGCAGAATAAGCTTCAGTCCAAGTAGATCCTCCAGTCCTATACGTAGATCTTGCATAACAAACTGAAGCTCTTCATCCGAGTGGGCTACGTAAGCATCTTTGTTGAAGTTTTGTCTAGTGACCCGCTGGATCCCACGACCCATGAGTACCAAAATGTGATGTGCAATCCTTGTCCAGTTCCGTGACACCAGCATGGCAGACACAAGTAGATGAGCTATTAAACACATCAGTGTTATGGAGACTGGCAGCCAAAATCGACCTTGACATGAAGTCCAGTGGTAATTAAACTCGTTGTACACTGTGTGGGTTGTTGTAAGAGCACCATATTCAGTAACACATGAATAGTTCCCATTGCTGTCAAAGGTAACCGACGATGAAAATATCCACCGAACAAACAAGAGAGACTGGCATGAGCAGGAGAGAGGGTTTCCCTTCAGCCTCAGGACCAGCTTGTTCTTCTGTCCGAGACTCTCCAACATATCCATTGTGTCGTCGTCAAAGTAGGTGATGGAGTTCACTGATAGGTCCAGGATGTGCAGGTCAGGCAGGTCATTGTGTTCAAAAGGAACAGACACAAGGTTATTTCTGGACACATTCAGACTGATCAGTGTCCTGATGGACCCCATATCCATATACCGTATGTCATTCCCTACTATATCTAAATAACGTAAAGCACGCATCGTCTTTAGTCCCTCCAGTACTGACCCTCCTCTTCTGAGTGTGTCCTCGTCGAAGCCCATATTGTTCAATGCAAGAGACGTCAGATTTGGAAAAGACTGCAAGAAGTCGTCTGTCATACCCCAACCTTCATTTCCAGAGAGATCAATTTTATTCAGGTATCTCAACCCGTTAGTTTGCTTTACAAGGCCCCATGCTCCATTGTAGGACAGATCTAATTTTGCTAAATGTGACGAACCTGTAATACCCGTTATAAAAAACCTCCCCAGGTGAGTAAACATTCCCCTCAACATACAGATACGTAGATTAGGAGGAAAACGTATTCCCATCCCTACTGATTCTAACTTTGATACAGAACTATTTTCTGAAACAGGCATGTGCCTGATAAGAGTATGAAGTCTGTTTTGAGTCACTTTAAACTTAGAGTCTAGATTGCCTTCTCCTGAGTTATACATGTGGCTGTTAAATGTGTATTGGTCAGAAAAATCTAAAAAATATAGATTTTTACATACACTAATTTGGAAAAATATAAATGGATCCCCCAAAATATTGTTATTTGATAAATCTAGATAATTAATACAATGCGAAAGGACAAGTATTAAATTTTCGTCAAGGTAAATAATGTGGCTATAGCTGAGATCCAGATGTTCGATGCAAATATGTGTCAGATAAATTAGTGTTTCCTTGGTTATAAGCTGGCTTTGAAGGTTTCGATTTCGACTAATATACCTGTTGGTTGGAATTTCTCATGAGAACTTGAGATACGTTTTTACCATTAAGGCCATAGAACGCACGTAGAGCCATAGCAGTTGGTAAGGTCATTACGTTTTCCAGAACTATTGTGGAAATATTTTTGAAAGGCAGAAATGCTCCAGCATGAATTGCAAGAAGATTGGAATCTTTTACATCCAACACCTGAACAGATGTATTCTCAAAAACGGAGAATGTGTGGTTTTGTATGGCACCGTGAATACAATCACCTTTTGATCCAGTTCCAATATTCAATGTTACCAGTTTTTGCAAATACCCAAATCCACTTCCAAATATTTCATATTCAAATGTATCAATTGTCAGTGTTTCTAAATTTATTAACCATTTGAATATCCAATCCGGAGTAGTTCCTCTCAGTCGGCAGTCGTTGTTACCAATGTTCAACTCTGTAAGACTTTGTAGAGGACGGAAGACATCTTCTGGATAGGTGTGATTGTCCAGTTGGAGATTATTGTTATTAAGGCGTAAACTGAGAAGGAGGGATAAACCTTTAAATGCGTTTGCTTCCAACCGTGATACTTGACAGTTTACAATGTTCAAATACAACAATCGGGGAAGACACACAAACGCCTGGTCCCTGAGAACCGTTATGTTGTTCCCGCTGAGATCCAGACTGACAGTGTTGGGAGGGAGATCACCAGGAACAGAGGTAAGGTTGAGGTTCTGACAGTCAACACGGCTACCACCAAGCTGGGGGTCTGGCTTTATTTGACATGTCTTCTGGCTTGTAGAAGAGGTCACAGTTAGTGTCAGGATAAGGCCACAGATGATCTTCATTGTGATGGCAATTTGGATAGATCTCGGTTCTGTTCCGTGTCGCAGTTCTTGATCAGTTTTAGTTGAAATCTAGAATGTATGAAGAATATATGTAAATAAAAGAATCCGTAAAACATACTTCCCTACCTGCAAGCACATTGGAGTGATTGATTGATTGAGTGAGTGTGTTAAAATGGTAGTGTATCGGCCATATAATGGCTAGAATAAGGTATTAAAGAGTATTAAACGCTTTGAATATTATTAGACAGTATATAATATTAAACCAGGCTATAGATAACCAGCAAAAAAGGAAGATCACCGTACGAGGGACCATTTTTTATGCTAATTCAACCCCTAACGACGATGCAGCCACTAACAATTTTCGTTTATGACATAATTTACTAATTGTTAAACAATGCACTGTACTTCCTGTTAAAACAAAGAAATGATTAAATGGTAGCTTAATTTTGTAAAAGGGTACTGATTGGTCATGCGTTGAGATACGAATCCCTTGTGGTGGACAAATCAAGATAGTCAAGCAAGCCATGCTTTACTGTGATTTCTTCATCTAGACTGTCATCATCATCTTCGCCTAAATCCAACGACCCAAGTTTTCATAATGATATAAGAATTACTTAAAAAGAGGATATGCTGATTATTGTTCTAATTAAAATCCTCGAAGCTTTATTTTTTAGTATTACAAAGCTCAAATTTGGTTTCTAAGAAAACAGACTCAGCTATGTTAGAAAATACTAGTTTAGCGAAAGTAACAGTGTTTTTTATTTAACATGTTCTACCTGAATTTTCTATAAAAGATTTGTGACATAACAATATTTATGAACGAAATTATGCCACTGAATACAATTTCTTATGGTAGACTGGCTTACAAAGCAGGAGATTATGTAGAAACTGCGTTTGGGAATGTATTGGGCATTGTCCAATGCGGGCGAAATCTATTCGCTTGGCTGGCCACCCATTCATATCTATCAGGTTACAGCGAGTGCACCTTCGAAGCCTAAATCAGGTTATGTTAACAAAGACTGTCGAGTCTATTCTCCTACCTTTTTTATGTCATGTTGGTAAGATTCGGTGACTGACGTATTGTCTCTTAAACGGGTACTGTAGTCTCAACGACTCGTTCCACATGTGGACATTTTGTGATATGAGCTCGAGTTCATTGACAATATATTGTAATTACAGATAAGGCAAGACAACTGGTGACAGTAAACTTACACATACTCTCCAAAAGAAGTGCACATTCCAACAGTGAATAACCTATATTTTGACATCATTTCTAATATACTCATGGTTTTTTTTAAAAATAATCCATTCACCGTATTTTCAACAAACAATAAATCATGTCATTATAACTGGATATTATGCAAGAAGGACATGGATGGTTGAACTCAACATTTTCAATGTTGGAAATTATAAAATGTATATCACGGCGGGAATAAAGTAGAGAAATACTTCTGGAAAATATGCTTCATTGTTTGGGTTGGAATAACAGTAAAACCAATTACCAGGGATCGTGTTCGTCCTCGTTATTTCTGACTCCCGTGTGAAAAATCAGTATCGGACTCTATAAGGACAAATATTTTTAACACACTTAACATAACGATTCTTTCAATAGGCGTACCTGCTACGACGTTTCTCACAAGGAATAAACAAAGCCCTTACCCCTCTCGTGTCCTGATTGAGGCTGGTTGATAAACATTTCCAAACCCAATGCTAGTGACATCCTGCTGCATATAGGACACATATTGATTCTTCGGGTAGTGTGTATAACATAACATTTGCTTCAATAGACGTTCCTGCTCTCATGTTCCTCGACTGGTGTATAGATACTTGTACATATATTGCGAGGGCTGAGTCATCTCAAAGCAGAGGGTTTTGTAAGAGGTGGGTAGGGCACATATTACTCATGATGTAAATAACCTTCAGTGAATGTATGTGTTTACATAAGGGCGCCGTGTTCTGGCTGTTTGTGTGTGCGCGTGCAAGGGTCTCATAAGACCATTTCAGCTGAGGGCAGTGGAGGGGGTCTATACAAGTATTTCAACAACATGTGGTTGGACGAGTATATCAAGAGCATGTGGTGGGACGAGTATTTCAACAACATGTGGTTGGACGGGTATTTCAACAACCTGTGGTCGGACGAGTATTTCAACAACAGGGGGCCAGACGTATATTTCAACAACAGGGCCTCAGACGTATATTTCAACAACAGGGGCTCAGACGTAAATTTCAACAACAGGGGGTCAGACGTATATTTCAACAACAGGGGATCGGACGAGTGTTTCAACAACAGGAAATCGGACGAGTGTTTCAACAACAAGGGGTCAGACGTATATTTCAACAAAAGGGGGTCAGACATATATTTCAACCACAGGGGGTCAGACGACTGTTTCAACAACAGGGGGTCAGACGTATATTTCAACAACAAGGGGTCAGATTTATATTTCAACAACAGGGGGTCAGACGTATATTTCAACAACAGGGGATCGGACGACTGTTTCAAAACAGGGCGTCAAACGTATATTTCAAAAACAGGGGTGTCAGACGTATATTAAAACAACAGGGGGGTCACACGTATATTTCAACAACAGGGGTAAGACGTATATTTCAACAACAGGGGGTGTGACGTATGTTTCAACAACAGGGGCTCAGGCATTTTATTTTAACAACAGGAGGTCAGACCTTTATTTCAACAACAGGGGGTCGGACGTCTATTTCAAAAACAGGGGGTCAGACGTTTATTTCAACAACAGGTGGTCAGACGTATATTTTAAGAACAGGGGGTCAGACGTATGTCAACAACAGGGGCTCAGACAAGTATTACAACAACAGGGGGTCTGACGTATATTTCAACAACAGGGGTCAGACGTATATTTCAAGAACAGGGGTTCAGACGTATATTTCAACAACAGGGGGTCAGATGTTTATTTCAAAAACAGGGGGTCAGACGTATAATCCAACAACGGGGTGGTCACACGTATATTTCAACAACAGGGGGTCAGACGTATATTTCAACAACAGGGGGTCTGACGTATATTTCAACAACATGGGCTGAGAAAAGTATTTCAAGAACAGGGGTTCAGACGTATATTTCAACAACAGGGGGTCAGACGTTTATTTTTTAACAACAGGGGTTCAGACGTATATTTCAACAACAGGGGGTCAGACGTATATTTCAACAACAGGGGGTCTGACGTTTATTTAAAAAACAGGGGGGCGGGGGTCTGACATATATTTCAAGAAGAGGGTTTCAGACGTATATTTCAACAAGAGGGGGTCAAACGTTTATTTCAAAAACAGAGGGTCAGACGTATATTTCAATAACAGGGGGTCAGACGTTTATTTGAAAAACAGGGGGTCAGACGTATATTTCAAGAACAGGGGGTCAGACGCATACGTTTATTTACAAAAGGGGGTGGAGGGGGGTGGGGGTGGGGTGGGGTGGGGGTGGGGGGGGGGGGGGGGGGGTAGGGGCAGACGTTTATTTCAACAACTGGGGGTCTGACGTATATTTCAA